CACGTGTGCCAAGGTACATTTATGGAGGTCTGAGTACAGCTTGCTGAGTCAGTTTTTCTCCTTTTACCCCTCTGGGTTGACTCAGGCTCTCAGTTTAGGTGCCTTTCCCATGGTCATTTTGGCAGACAGGGTCTCATGTAGACCAGGTTGGTCTTGAAGCTGCTGAGTGGATAAAGCTGGCACAGAATTCCTGACCCTCCTGCTTCTACCCCCTAAGTGCTGGGATTGCAGGCGTGTACCGACTCACACAGCTTAATATCACATTTCCCTGTGTCAGATTTCCAAGAGAAGCCCCACTGGCCTGCAGACTTTCCCTCCTTGGTGAGTACAAGACTGTTGGTAGGTCACAAATAAGAAGACAAAATTTTCACAGCTTCAAGAGACTTCTTTCGAGTACCCATACAGTTACCATAAAAAGCAGTGTACTTTAGTTCATCTAAAGATGTAAATTCTCTCAAATGGAAAATGTAGGCTAAGAGTTGAGGGCGGTCTTACTTATGTCATTAAAGTAGAAGAGGAGAGGTGACCTTTGCTTAACAGGATACAAGGGGACAAAGGAGAATATGAGTCCTTAGCAAACTGGAAATCATGGGATATGGAGTAATTCATCCAGTCTATATTCTCAGTCAAAATGCTTATATCAGAGTGCACCAGTTCATTGGGAATGAGCAAAGGGAAGGGGGAAAATCCACCCACAAACCATGAGACTGTTAATAAGGATAAAATTCGAATAATAACAGCAAAATGTTTTTCCTTCCAGGAGCTGACTGCTCTGTGCAGGGAGGGCAGATCTGCACATTAAGTTCTAAAAATAATGGAACAGAACTTGGATAGGTAGAGGAACCCTCACAGAGGGCATGTGTTGGGGTGGGGCGATGCAGATTTTAAAAGGAGAAAATTCTTGAGACAGGGAGCCCTGGATTGAATCCCACCAAGACATTCTCACAGTCTGCCCCCTCTCCCCAGAACTTAGTTCCATAAAAGTTTCTATAGGCAAATGAAAACCTCCTAACGAATAAGTCCAAGGCACTCGAGAAGAGCTACATGCCGATGGGAAATGAGTATCTGTTATCCCTGGTTCAGTGAGGTACTTCCGACAAGCTGGTAACCGCACATTAATAAAATGTCTTTTTCAAAGGGTAAGCTCAATCAGCAGAATGTGATCCAACACATCTGAGTAAGAATGGTGTCAGACGCTGAGATAAAGTAGAGCAGATTCTGGGGAAATAGAGCCTGGGGCAACACAAAAGTAGAAACATCCACACATCTTTCCTTTCTCTTGCTGAGCTTGTGAAACTCAGACATTCATTTTTCACATTGTGTTCTAAAGGACCTTGGCAGCATCTCTTACATGCTCCCGAAAGACAGCACAGGGGGAGGTGAGGAGGGGGCTGTTTACAGTGTGTCTCAGTTCTGCCATTTCCAGGCTCACCAAGCATGATTCTGTAGAGTGTAGTTACAACCTCCATATTCCACCTCCTTTCCTGTAGTCTGCTAGTTTTGTGGTTTAATAGAGAGTGGCCAGTGAGAATGCAGCGAAAGCCAACAGGACACAGAGGAGAACGTGTGGCAGTGACTGACGTGAGGGTCCTATGTTTTATGTGTCGTGGGACAACAGTATGGTGCATAGAAACTGTGGACCCCACATGCCTGTTTTCAACCAGTTGGTCTTTCTGAGGCCATACTGGACTCCAAAATGTGGCCCGAATGGTGGGTCGCTGTTGAATTTTGAAAACCAACATTTGAGAAGAAATAAGGCCCCAAGTAAGTGTTAGTAATGGAGAAATGCAAAAATGTGTCTCAAATTGTGTTTGGTCTCCATTCAACTGGAGGACAGCCCCCAGAATATTTACGGTGAAGACGGTAGGATAGCAGTCCCCTTCTTCATATGTTCTGGCAGGGCGTATCTCCAAATTATAAACAGTCTCAGAGTGTTTTTATTTTATATTCTTTTCCTCCTGAGAAATACACCCTAAGCTACTTGGAATGGGAAGAATGGAAGTTAGTTACCTATCCAGCAGAGACTCAATGTCTAAAAGAAAAAGGTCCCCTGTATAGGAGAGTATCCTGCTGAAAGAGAACAGTCTCCTGAATTAAATGTTCTCTCCGAAGACATAGACAACACAGGACTCATTCTCCTGGGTGCTGCGGAAGGATAGGGTTGCATGGTCGGGTGAGGGGCTTTGCTGAGGTGGCACAGTGGCATGGGTTGCTGGCAGGACTCTGCTGATGCTGGTGTCTAGCAGACAACCTGTGACACCATGCCATGCTGCCGTGACACCAACCCAGCTGCCAAGCTGATGGGGCCGTGAGTGAATGACAGTGATGGCCATTTCGTCAATGATAATGTTCTTTTTTTCCCACCGTGTAAATCAAAGGCAGCAACTGGGAAAGGGCCCACACCACCAAGCCTACATTTGTCTCATGACTGTTGATAAGCAATCTGGAAGACAATGGAGACAATGACCTTTTATGCTTCCCGTGCATTCTGAACCCTTGGATCAACCCAGGATCCCTTTGTCTGCTAAAGAGTGACAAGCCCTTCTTTGTCTCGTTGCCTCTACTCATTGCCTTCCTTCCTTTGAAAACCATCCTCAAAGTTGTTTTTACTTGCACACTTGCCAGGATGGCACCCAATTCAAGGATGGAGTGTATGGTAAATACTTAGAATCTTATGGCTGGCCATTATTAAGGAAAAGTATTTTTGAGAGTCTTCAAATCAATCCATAAAACCTGATTTTCTTAAAGCACAGCTCTCCTGGCATGCTCTATCTCTCTGTCTCTGTGTGTCTCTGTTTCTCCCTGTCTCCATGTCTCTTTGTGAGTAGCTTTCACTGGTTTTGTTATTGTTTTGTTTTGTTTTTGAGACAAGATCCCTCTCTATAACCCTACCTGCCCTGGAACTCTCTATGTAGCCTCCAAAGAACTTCCTGCCTCTACCTCCTGAGTTCTGGTATTAACGGCACACACCGCCACACCTGCATGCTCCTCAGATCTCTTGACTGGCTTAAACAGCCAATGAGGCAAGAGACAAAAATAACAGGAAAGGAATTGGGATGGTCAGTAGGACTCTGAACAACCATTCTGCATTCGGAGAACCCGAGTAAGGAACTCTTTTTGTAATAATTAAACCCAAGTCTCTGGAGATGAAAGTAAACAAATGAGATTGCTTATCCTTGTTCTAAAGACACATGTACACTCTGGTCCTAAAGATTCATTTGCAGCAGAATGTCTTTGTGTGTTATTATTTATGTCAGGGTGATTGGGCATCATATTCCACTCAAATATCCATAATCCAGATTTCACCAGGACCAACCTTCCCCACCCGCATTCCTGTTCTGTGTTTGCAAATAGAAAATTTCCCCTCTGGATTCTTGAGAAGTACCTGGTATGGATTCTATCAGGATACCGCAGAGATTATTTCAAGAAAAAGATTATGCAGTGTAATGCTTAGCATTTATATAGGTTCTTTTGATTTCAAAAAACAACTTAGAAATATCGCCTACCATGACAGCATCCTTGCGAGGTAGGTGAGTATTATTGTCTCTACATTAACTATAGAAACCCAAGGCCAAAGAGCAAAGGACTCTGTTCTGAGCTTGGTGGCAGGAGCCATACTGGATATGGGCATCTTGGCCACTTGCTCTGGGCTCTAAAGAGGTCACACCTCTTTCATGTAGCAACAGTCTCCATTAATACAGGATTATATATTGTAGAGATATAAAACAACAACACACAATGACATTATAGAACAATAATCCAATATTTCTGTTTCTTAGTAAAATATGTTAAGCACAGTATTTAAATTGCATTTGTCTGAAAAGCATTTGGTATATTAAATAGCAGAAGGTATATTAAATAGCTCTATAAACATTTGCTGGCATACTCTTAACAGCATAATAATTCTAAATAAATTAAAATCCGCCGATGCATAGAGACCTTTCCTTTATAATACTGTTAACCAAACACAAATGTGAAACAGCTTTGTTCTCAAAATGCAGACTTAATGGCTTGCTGAATATTAGCAGGGGCACTTCATCTTTCTGAGCTTGAGAAAAGTATATATATGTATATGTGTGTGTGTGTGTGTGTGTGTGTGTGCATGTATACACACATATGTTTTTCATATATATACATATATATATGAAAGAGAGTGAGCGAGAGAGCTGACTTTGGTTTTTTAAAATAAAATGACCAAATAGGGAGGGGGAAAAGTGTAGCTGAAGACTGGGCGATGGTGGCACACACCTTTAATCCCAGCACTTGGGAGGCAGAGACAGGGAGTTCTCTGCCAGCCTCTGAGTTCTCTCTGAGTTCGAGGCCAGCCTGGTCTACAGAGCACGTTCCAGAATAGCCAGAGCTACACAGAGAAAGCCTGCCTCAAAAATCCAAAAGAAAAAAAATATAGTTAAAAGGTGGAAATGAAAGACTGCTATTTCTATATTGTATACATTCTAGAGAATTCACACCTTTCCCAAAGATATTCTGACACTTGGAACTAGTGCCGAGGTGACTACAGAGATGTTGTAGAACAAGAACATTTAGGGAGAAGACAGACTGGTACCAAAGAAAACCTGTGGGATCAGAAGACAAGGGGACAAAGGACTGGGTTTTCAAGAGTCTTGAAGGCTGGCATGAGATGGCGGTGTCTGTGCTCAGCTGCCTCGATAGGTCTTGGAGATGGGTTATTAGGGAAGAAACTTGGGGCTGTCTGTGTCTTCTCCCCCATTCCTCTAACTCCAGAATTCAGCAATGTTAAAGAAGAGGGCTCACCTCACGCTAAAACCTGTGCAGCGGGGCCAGCAGAAAAGGTCCTAAAACCATTAAGGAACAGAAGACAAGAACTGAGTCTTAAAATCTGTATGCAGACGTTAAAAACTAACTCCTACGCCAGAATGACATTCTCCGTTAGAGCTCATAGATAGAAAAGTCTTAAATTTAATATACGGTGCTAAGATGTTGTTATCTAGATATTACATGTCATTCAGAGAACAGTTTTAATAAGTGTGCTTTTTTTTTATTTCTCCTTAAAAAAAAAAAAAGATGTCGTAAACCGTTGTCTTTGCTCTAGTCCTTCCTGCATTAGGTCGGAAGCCTTGCTGTCTGTCAGTGAGCTATGCACTCAGGGGCTCCCTCCTGGTGGCATTGCCATTGGCGGGCTGGTTGGAGGGAGGCTTGCGTTTGGACAGGTTTGAACAGTTTGGTTGTTTGGTGGGCTGTAAGGATTTGGCATAAGGTGAATACCAGTCTCTTTCAAACACATCTTTAAGTTGTTTAATGATGCTCCTGTTGTCTCTCGCATCTGCCTGGTTGATGACAAGGCCCGTACCAGCATTCTGGGTGAAGTCATTCCCTACCCAGTCAAAATTTCCTGCAAACAAAGAAATCATGGTGAGAAGGTGCGATCAACTGGGAAAATTCCCAATATATGAAATACAGAACAGATTCAAATTAAAAAAAAAACATAAAATAAACACCCAGGAATAACGAGAGAGGCAGAATCATGATGACAGCTCCGGAGAAAAAACTTACAAGAAGCCCTACATATGGCGGATTAATATTTGCATATTATTTTGGCATTTTCTTCAGTTTCGCTCAAGTTGAAACTCAGAACAAGGAATCTGCTGTTCTTTTTCTGTAAATGTTATTTCTTATTGACGTTCACAAGATGCACTAAATACAGCAACATTTAAAATATATAGGAATACACTTTAAAATCCTGTGAACAATTACACCTTCTCAAAGAGACAACATCGAATCCATATGTATAAACATTATTATGCAGAGACACTTCACAATGGAGGCAAAGCCGAAGGCAAGGAAGCGGCTCCTGTTCTCCCTAAGGAGACTGGAAGGCACCCCCCAAGGTAGGGGGGATTGGCTGCTGGGCCAGGTGTTTCAGTACAATTTTCAGGACATGCCAGAAACTGGTAGGTTTAAATATTAGAAATGTATTCTCATGACTTTGTAGACAAAAATAAGGTTGGTTCTTTCTGAGCGCTAAGGGAAGGGTGATAGCTAATTTTTGTTGCCAACATGACGCTTCTAGGAAGAACTACCACCATCAGACTGACCTCTGACTACGTCTATGGGGTAGTCATTGCTGGACGGCTAGTTATAGAGGAGGATTCTGTCCACTGTGGGCATTGCCCTTCCCTGGGAAAGTGGGCCTGGGCTGGATAAGAACAGTATCCAGCCATAAACCTGGGATCAAGCCAGTAAGCAGTATTGCCCTCTGGCTACTGGTTCAAGCACCTGTCTTGAGTTCTGGCCTTGGCGTCTCTTGATGATGAACCTTAATCTGCAAACTGAAACAAACCCTTTCCTCCCCAAAGGAAAGAAGGAGGAAATTGCTTTTGGTTATGGTGTCCATCACAAGGATAGAGAAACAATTAGGGTAGAAGGAATGAGTTCCAACCGCATCTCCTGGGTGGCCCCTTCTCCTGTCTCTCCACACTGTCTTTCCTGTATGCATGCCCTTATTTGCCCTCTTTCTGATTTTGTTTTGAAACAGGATGTTACTATGTAGTTCAGGCTGGCCTCAAACTCACAGCATTCCTTCCCCCTTCAGCCTTTGGAGCTGGGATCGCAGACACAAGATACCATATATAGTTAGTACCTTTGTGGTTTGTTTTGTTTTAAATGACATAGCCCACATAAATGTCTATAATGACCCTGCTTGGGAGTGATTTTCCTTTTACACATTCTTTTATACAGGGAACTGGGACTTCAGCATATGAATTTGGAGACTGAGATTGTTTCAGACGAGGTTGATAATCGCTATGCCATTAATGCTTAATCTGTCTTCAAGGCTGCAGTGGTTTGGATGAAAATGACCCCCATAGACTCATATATTTACATGCTTAGTCCCCAGTTGAGGAGCTTTCAGGGAAGGGTTAGGAGGCATGGTCTTGCTGGAGGAGGTGTGTCACTAGGGGCGGGCTTTGAGGTTTTAAAAGCCCACACTTGGCCCAGTGTCTTTCTCTCTGTGTCTGCTGTCAGAGGACCACATTGTAAAACCCACAGCTACTTCTCCAGCACCATGCCTACCTGTCTGTAGGCCACTATACTCTTCACTGTGATAACAGACTAAGCCTGTGGAATTGTAAGCCAGCCCCCAATTTCAATGTTTTCTTTTATAAGATTTGCTCATAGCCAGAGAACATGCAAACAAAGACACAGAAAAGGGTTAAGCAACCCTAACCTTCTATATATGTTTCTTTGGGATCGAATGGGCAAAACCAAGCTCTGTCCTTAGAAGGGGACAGTGCTGTTTATTTCTCGGATCTTCTGTGTCCTGTCTTGTTCACTGAGTACCTAATGTTTACTAGGTCTGATGTGAAGAATGTGGATAGAAATCTGGACATGACAGTTTCTGCCTTCAAAGAGTCAATGAAAGAAACAGTCATTAGAACACAGAAGGTAGGAAAGGGTACACACCAGGGTTTCACATCCAGGGCCACGATCACTGGAGAGAAGGCTTTCTATCCTTCATTAAATATGCCAAGAAGAAGCTGCGTATGCGTATTGAGTGATGAGAAACACACCGAAGCTTAGCTGGGACAAGGATAACCAAACTTCCAAAGGAGGGTGGTATCTTGTGGGCAGAGAAAAGGTTAGGAGTTTGGAATATTAGGGGATGTGATCAAGCTGCAAGGGAGTCTGAGAGGAAAGAAACTATAATTTATTGTCTACTTTGGGCAAAGCACAGTGCTTGTGTTTATAAACACGATTTCATATGACGGGGAAAATTTACCATGGGGAAGGAGATGTTCACAGAGGTTCCTACACTTGTCCCAGTTTTCTTGGTTAACCAGTGGTGCCTCAGAGAAAACCGCTGGAGCTGGGGTTCGGAGTCAAATCTAACTCCAGAGCCAGCACTTCACTTCAGTGTCATGTGGCCTCTGACCCTAAGGGCATCCACTGACTGCTTCACCCTGGACAATGACCTCAGCTCAGGCTCTGGGGCATAGCAACCACACTGGAATCTCTGCTATGTGCATTGGCAGATCAAATTTTCTGGAGGAAACAGACACAGACAGATGTGTTGGGGGAAGCCCTGGGAGGAGAAAAGAGGATGGAGGGAGGTGAGGACTTTGGGGCCGTTATCCTGTAAACCGAGCCTTTTCCTGCTTTCAGTGAACAAGCCAAAGTCACGGTATTTGTGGATTTCAAATGCTTTAGTTGGCGTCTTTCCGAGATAGCTCTGGGACGTTTCGTGCTGACACAGGGATTTTGCCTGACCTTCAAGGTGACATATATGCATCTGTATTTTTTTGAAGTTGGGCTACAATTTCACCTGTTATCTTTTTAGACTATTTCAGCTCCCAAAAATGCATGCCAAGGCTGCAATATCCAGAATGTAGTGTGTCCTGTGTGTATACGTGATGTCGAGGGTACCAAAGAGCTCATTTTGTTGGTAGGCAGCCTTGGGCATCTCGCCAGCACTTTCCATTAACCTCCTGCAACCTCCTTAGCTGTCTCGTAAGTCAGACACTTTCCTGAAAAATTTGCAGAGCTTAATTCAGATACATTCTGGAGAATTTAAAATGAGAGAGGGGACACTGCCTGAAGATTCTTCTGCAAGTCTCATACTAACCTAATGGAGCTGTAACCTCAAACCCTGGGAATTTTCTTAGTTCCACGTTATCGATGAGCACTGAAGGAATGAGTCAGGAGATTTCCGAGTGTGCGGAGGATTATTTAAGGTACCAGTTATTTCCCCCTTTTGTCCTTTGAGTGTTTTTCTGTTAGAACTCTGCTTCTCTTTAGAGAATCAGTGTTTTGTTAGAACTGTTGTCTAGAAAACAAACTCACCAAATAACATCTTAGCTCAGGATGAGGAAGAGAGCAAGAATCCAGTCTTTACTAAGACCCCAGACACACAAGAGCCAGTGTGTGGGGGCCATTCATATATCACCTTAATTAACCATCACGTCACCGTCAAAGGGTGGGTGCTGGTGCCCCCTTTCTCAGACAGGGAACTGAGACTTAAAAGAGATTACACAACTTTCTACCATCTTCCAGTTGTGTCAGTGCTGTAATTAAAAAATAAACACAGATTTTTCTGATTCTAAAACACTGCTTTAATTTGTCCAAGAAATGTTTGCATATCAGGTGAGCCATTTGAAGACCAATAAACATTAGCTGATAAGCGACCATGTCTGGTCTTGGATTGAGTTCTGTCTTCCTCTTTGGAACGGGCCTATGGCATATTACTTTAAATAAAAGCTACAATGAAATATCTTGATTTGGGGTCTTAAGCCACTGTGTGCATGTCTTGATTCATCCATAAGTTTTAGATAATTTAGACAGAAGTTCCCATTTTTTTTTTTTAGTTAACAATTCTGAGGCATTTTTTGTCACTTGTCTTTAAAGTTTTTATAATTTTTTCTTTATTTAATATTTATGAGTGCTTTGCCTGCATGCAGCTCTAATTTTAAGAAGGCAATGTTGTAATTAGGAAAAATAGAGACTGATATTCTCAGGCTGGGATTGCAATGACCCCGTAGTTCGGACAGAACACAAAGCTCCTCTCTGGACACCTGCCCAGCCGAGTTACATCCTTATTCAGACTCCACATCCTCCTCATTTCTAAACTTTGATTATGCTCTCCTCCATGTTGGTAGTGATGCTAACAGGACTAAATAAGGTAAAAGTGCTTCGTGAAGTAAAGCATGTTTGTTTGTTTGTTTGTTTTTGTTTTTAATTCGGCCATGGAATTTAGAGAAATAACTGATAGGGTTTTTGTATTCATTCTGCATCCCACAAACATGTTTTCCTCCTCTGCTGAGGCTGCCACTTCACCTGTGCGATGTAATAATCACCCCAATTCCTTAGCATTTGAGCGTCTCCTTTTTAAAGACAATATCAGCTCTATCTGGGATGATTCTAGTGAAGGAATTACCCTGGCCTCCCACACACTGCGACAAGTTAGAATAATCCCACCGGCGTAATAATGATTTATGCTCCTGGAACTTTATTGCCTTAAGAATAACAGCTAACATTAATTGGGTATCATCCATGTACCAGGTGCTTTGTGTGAATTATCTCTCATTTAAACATTACGCTGTGAAGTTAAAAACTGACACCAGCCTCATCTACCACAAATCAGCAAGCTGAAATTTAGGGAGCTCCAGGGAACTGTTCCACGTTAGATATTTAGAAAATAGCAGAGATGCCGTGAGAAGATGGCGTGGATGTCTTTGTTTCCCTGACATTGTAGCGACTCCTCACAGCCCCAAAATGGGATATCTCATCTTGTAGACAGAAGAATAAGCATTTTGGGTCCATGTATCTGTTCCATGCCAGAACCCACTTCGTCTCCTCCTTTTAAAATGAGCCAAATGAACCAGAGGATGTGTGCAGAATGCAGACCATAAATTGTCTTCCATGGTTGGCAGCCATGGAGTAGAGAGAAGGTCTATTTAACTGAAGAGCTCTTGGCCTTCACCCTCACGCCTTTTAGCCACACAACCTCATTAATAACTATGGCGGACCCCTTCTGTCTGGGTGATGCCCAAGGAGGAACTTTTCAGCCCCCATACCCACCAATGTAAGCTGCTCCATCTGTTACCATGTACTTGTTGCGGTTTAATTTCGGAAAGGTCTGGTTCTTTTGTTCTTTTGTTGCACAAGCATTCTCTCTTTCCAGATCAAAAAATTTCTGTAAGACAAAAAAAAAAAAAAAACCAAAAAAAAAAAAAAATTGGTAAGAAAGCAAAGCAGGTCAATTGAGAGTGTTTTGGGTCTTGTTCACAAGCACAAAGGAGCCTATTATCCAAATATCAGCAATAGACCTCACATTGGGTTATTAAAATGACACTCTTGTTACTCTGTATAGAGGAAGCTATTTTTACTCTCCATCCATATAGGCAACAACAAAGAAAATTAGCATGCTCAACTAGCTCTGTGATTAACTCTGCAAAGTGAACAAATGAACACAAAATTCCTTCTCTGAACAGGGTGAGAACGAAGAGGTTGTTTAATTCTCCCTGTCTTACTGAGCAGGGCACACTGGCCCTGGAAGCAGTCCCTAGGCGCTCCGTGTCTTGCATGCCAACAAACTGAATTCTTACCTGGTGCTTATATTATGTCAATGACTAACTGATTCATCTGAGACTCTGCAATGGTCAAAAGAGATTTTGCCATAAGAACAAATAGTTTTCATTGGAACACCTAAGTTCACGGGCTTTTTGAATGGGCAACTAAAAATAATAATAAATTACAAAATTCAAACTATGGAATTCTCGTGTCAGTGTGACTCTAAAGTAAATGATAATGATGATGATGATAACTATGATATTAATAGCATTCTATTTTGCCCAAGGCCCCAAATAGAGAAGCTGGGGAAGTGGGGCCTGGCTGCAGGGAAGGCAGGCCTTTGAAATTTGGCCAGGGTTGGATGAATTATCCATTGTGAATGAGCCCCTGGGACTCTGAAGGTTTAGCTCAAGGGTTTCAAGTCTCCACTGCAGTGGAGAACATGGATCCTCGAAGGTCTTTCAGCTCTAGCCTTTGTGAGCTAGAAGGGAAGAGAAGCAGAGGCCAGATGTGGAAGGTGACTTCATGTATAAGGTTCTGCAAGTTCTAATTTGGGTTGCAGAAATGGTTAGAGTTGGTTTAGCCTTATACTTCGTGCTGGGGGAAGGGTAACCTGACGATCACTAAGGGCTCCTTTATTCTGAGCTTCATCGGGGAGACTTCTGAGACAGCAGAAACCAGATCAGTGTCGCTGACATTGTTAGAGGTCTTACTGTGCTGGGAAAGACGCAAAGAGACCAAAAAGAATTACTTTATTAAATAAAGTAATTCAAGATAGCTGTGAAAATATTTTTAGATTAAAATTTAAGAAATTATGTGTACATATTTATGTGTATTGAAGTGTGGGTATGTGCATGTAAGTGCAGGTGTCCACAGGGGTCAAAGATGTCCCATTCCTGGAACTGGAAGTATAGATAGTTGTAAGTCACCTGCATCACCTGATGTGGATGCTGGGAACTGAACTCTTGTCCTTTGCAGGAGCAGTGCATGCTTTTATTTGCTGAGCCGTGTCTGCAGCCCTGAGCTGTTACAATCTTGCAAGTAGCAGTCTCTCTCCGATGTCCTCAATGATACCGAGCCACATCTGGGCAGGTGAGGAGCGCATCTACGTAGAGACAGAGCACCTTGCCTGGTCCCAAACCATCTCTCTGCCTTGTCAGGGCTCGGTGCTTCCTGCAGACATACTGTACCCAAAGTTTTATACCCTACTTTTCTTGTAAAAAGTTCCCTAACCATCTGTGTCCTAGATGATGGGGCCATGTTTCCTTCCCACCCGTGCTTGCCTTGACATTTAAAAATACATGGCCTCTGTTTTATAAAATGGCCAACAGTGAGCTATTAATGTATGGCTTATTCAAGATTCATGACCATCTGTGTCCAAAATAGTGAAACTGAAGGGGTTCTGCAGAGGCTACTGTGGCGGATTCCTCTTTTCTTGTGGGATTTCGAGTGCAAGAGCCTTAGACACAAGCACGCTGTGGGGGGCAGGAAGCAGCATGGCAGGAAAGACCCCTGACTTTGGGTGAAGAGACACCAAGAGTGATCATGGGAGTGAATGTACAGTACTGTGTGCCCAAGCTCCTGCAAACCTCATACACTCAACAGAGGATCCTGTGATGTCACTCACTGACCTCCAGGGTGCAGGATGCTCACCGGGAAATACCAGATCATAAATGACAACTAAGAAAAGTCTGGGCAATGCTTGGTCCACAGAAGAGAGTCCATGTCTGGGACTGGAAACCCAGGCAAAAGCCCACGTCTTGGGAGGGCATATGCCCTGTGGGGAAAGCTATTGCTTTATTTTGCTTAATGGGCATGCTGCTCCTGTCAAATTGCCTTCTAAATAGCTATGTTTATGCACATAGATTAGCGTTGCTATCAGCTTTGATCTACAAAGCATCTTTCTGTAGGGATCAGAAGTTACTAGAGAGACTCATAATTACTCCAAGTATTGAGGAGAAGTGACCCATAAATGCCCAGCCATAGATGAAACTTCTATTCCCCAACGGCACACAGAACACCCGAAAGGGGGACGGAGAAGGGAGAGGCAGAAAACCCCCGCTTTTTGACGTGACATAGCTGTTGTTGCACCTTTGAATTTAAAATAAGCTGTGATAACCTGCACATGTAAGACTGGGCCCATCAACACTCTGTCATGGAAGCAGGGGTGGGGATCATGTGGTTCCATCTGTCCCTGGCGATTTATTATCAACAGTCTGTGGTTGATGGGGATGGGAGAGGCATTTTCTTCAGGTGTGTAGCTCCTCACATGGGGCCCACGCTCCTATAAACAACGCGTTTGTAAATAGTCATAAGGAAACTCACTGGGGAAAAAACGACTTGGGCATTGTTCTGGGTACTCTCTGCTCTCCTCACTGGTGACAGAGCCTATCTTACCACTGCCTTTCCCAGATCACCTCCCCCTCCCTTTTACTGCCTTCATTTGTGCCTAACAGTTTAACACATATTGTGAACACTATTGGCTTCATGCCAGTCATTAGGGACAGTCGGTGACTAGACATCTGGTGACTTCCCTGGAGCCGCGAGTGCCACTTCAGTACTCTGGGTGATGCTGTACCTGAGATGAAGCAACCCCAGCATTCTCTTCTCTATGAAGAGGCATCACAGACAGCTGGACTGGTCTCTCAGGCCTTACCTGACTCCCTTGTTTCAACCTCTGCTTTGAGTCCTAGTATTTGATTTCAAATCCCAGTTTGAAATCCTTACTCTGTCTTGGACATTTCAAACACTTTCAAATCTGGCCTACAAGACAGATGACTGGTAATAACCACAAACCCGTTTTCATATTTCTAATACTTACAATGATTTGCGAACTCATAGACATGGGGGTGTCTGCTTCAGTTTTTTTTCAAAGTTTATTAAATTATAAAAGTTTCCATTTCTGCCCCTCCTCCCAACACCCTCCCACTCCCCCCACTCCCTCTCCTCCTCCCTCTCCATCCCTAAGAGCAGTCAGGGTTTCCTGCCCTGTGGGAAGTTCAAGTTCCTCCCCCCTCCCTCCAGGTCCAGGAAGGTGAGCATCCAAACAGACTAGGATCCCAAAAATCCAGTATATGCAGAGGAATCAGTTTTAAAAATTAAAGTTAAGCACAGAGTTGTACGGAGAAAGGGATGGAAATTCTAGGGTTCCCTATAGGTGAAGAAAGGAAAACAGACAATGGGTGCTGAGACTATAGACCAGGATATTCCGTGAGTCTATTTCCTTTGTCCCAGTGAGACACAGCTGCCCTGCTGGACACACTAACAAGCCTCCCTTGCCTTGTGGTGTCATCCTGTGAGGACATCTGTGATGGAACAAAAGCTGAAAGGATGCTCACCCCCTATAGGCCTAACCATCATGTCTCTCACTCCTCCCTCTGTCTGTCTCTGGGATACTGAGGGTCAGGGATATGCTGGAAGCTATGATTCAAGATGGATGCTTCAGAGACTCTGTCATCCCATGCTGACAGATGCCTCAGGAAGCACAGGGCCTATCACAGAGTGGGTCTCGGCACACAGCCATTGAATGCACAGGGGCTTGGTTTGAAAACTGAGGCCGAAAGGCGAAAAGATTAACAGTCATCAGTCAGCTGAAGGTGGGAAAGATGGATGCAGGCAGAGGAAACAGCACTCACAAAGGCCCGGAAGGGAGGAGGCAAGAATTAGAATTAGGTGATGTGGGATTCCTCTCTGTATGCTGTGAATACCGTTGGTTAATAAAGCAGTTACTCTGGGTCTCTTGCAGCACAGAATAGGGAAAGGCAGGAATTCCAGGCAGATAGAGGAGGAGAGAGTAGGTGGAGTCAAAGAGACACCACGTAGCTGCTGGAGAAGAAAGACACCTGCGCGCTGGTACTGGTAAACCATGAGCCTCATGGTAAAATATAAAACAATGGAAATGGGTTAATTTTAGATACAAGAGTTAGCTAGCAATATGCTTAAGCTATTGGCCAAACAGTATTGCAATTAATAAAGTTTCTGTGTGATTATTTTGGATCTGGGTGGCCGGAATGAATGAGCATTCTCTGACAACACATGGGTACTAGGGTTTGAGTGTGAAATGCCTTCCATAGGCTCATGTGTTTGAACACTTAGTCTATGGGGGTGATATATTGGGAAGAAGTAGAATCTGCCTGAAGAAGTAGATCTATGGGCAAGGGTGGGACTAACGGGTTAGATACTGTCCCTAATAACAGCCCAAAGTCTGTCCTTCCTGACAGGCCAAGATGTAACAGGTTGAACTGTCAACTTATGCCAGCAAGGCACAAGTCCTGGCCACCATGGAACTGTGGACTCAGATCAATCCTACCTCCCTTCAGTTGCTTCTGGTCAACATTCCGTCAGAGTAGGGAGAAAAGTAGCAGAAATGGGTTACTAGTGGCTCCCCACATTGCCTTCCTCTGAGCATCCAGAGATGGATTAGCCCATGCACAAGAGACAGGAGCAAGTCCAGGAGTCTGGGCTAAGTGGGGTGGTGGGCAGGGTCAGTGTGGATGGATGAAGGTTTCAACTCCGTTAAGGATACAAATAAGATTAGCAGGTGAAAGAAGCAGTTAAAGTGTGTACTTGAAGGGGCTGCGGAGATGGCTGGGAGGGTAAACTGCTTGCTCCCTGTGCACAAGTGAGAACCAGAGTTTGGATTCCTAACATCCACATAGAGTTTGGCAGGAAGCCGTCTGCAACATTAGTGTTGGGGGTAGATGGCGACAGGTAGCTGGGTGGCAAGCTAGGCTAGCTAGTTTATCTACATCAGTGAGCTTCAGGTTCATGAGAAATCCTGTCTCAAAAAAAAAAATAAACTTGAGGAGGACAGATGATGCTGACCTCTGGCCTCTACACGACTCCCCCCGTCCCTGGGTGTGCCGTGTGCCAACATCATTCATAGACATGCGAAGGGAATAAGCCCTTTTTATTGGATAATCCAGGCGATAAAATACTTACAACTTTCAAGCTGCAGTTGGCTATTTCGGTGCAAATAGCTTTAAGAGACGAAATGAAGTTAAATGTGAGGGGATCAGTCTCCTTCCAGAAGCTAATGAGGAGCCGGACTTTGACGCTTCGCAAGACTAAGGCTTCTCTTATTTTCCCATCCAAATCTGGCCAGTATGATCTGCGGAAGGAAAAAAAAAAACCTACCTGAGAAAGAATTTTACTACACAACAATGCTTTGCTGTTCCTCTGTGCAAAGCTTTACTCTGTAACATGTCAATCAACTTGCAGGATAGATTGAGAACACGGGCCTTTAGAGTTAGGTACCAAGAGGTGACGTTTTTCTAGGACCTCTTTCTAGACGGTCTTATACAAGACCTATCTATAGACCTTACAGAAGGTCTCAGGTTCACGGGGTGAAGCTACGTGGAGCTAGTGTTCAGATGAACTGACCCCCTTGGGTTGTCGTCAGCAGACCTCCAACACTTTCCAGGCCTTGTGTGGTGGGAGCATCTACTTTTGGGCAGAATTAGCTAGCAGTCTTGCATGCCTCTTCCCAGATGTCACGACAGCCTCTATTTTTTGAGGATATTCCTCACTCTCTAATGAATGCCTGTTCTGGTTATCTTGGTGCAGGAGAATTGTCTGTATTCTGTCAATCATGTATTTTAATAAAACGCTGATTGGCCAGGCAGGAAGTATAGGTGGGTCAACCAGACAGGAAGTAGAGGCGGGACAATGAGAATAGGATAAGGCTAGGGAGGAAGAAACTCACTCGGCACTCCTGCGCAGATCACTAAAGAAGCAACATGTAAGCTGCCCCCGCTGGAAAAGGTACTGAGCCATTATGGCTAACATAGATCAGAATAATGGGTTAATATAAGTTATAAAAGTTAACAAAAAGCCTGACCTAATGAGCCAATCAGTTTATAACCTAATGTAGACTCCGTGTGATTTTCCTTGGGACTTGCTGGCTTGTTGGGGTACTGGGCAGGACAGAAACCCCAACAAGCTAGCCTCCATGCTACATTATCTGAGCTGCCCAATGCTCTTATTTCTGCATTATCTTTAACACCATCTCTATAGACCCAGCATCCCACAGCTCCTTTCCCTCCTTCCTCTGGGATGGACGCTGGGAATCCTCCAGCACACCAACAGTTTCCTCTGTCCCCTAAGCCTCTTCCCACAGCAGTTCTCCCAGAAGACTCTTGGCTTAAGGTGTGCATGCGGCCATCAGCTCTACCCATTCCCCATCATGTCATTTCAGAAGCATCACGTACCCCTTATGTTAAGACAAATCAGTAACTTGTCTTGTCTGATGTAGGTGGGAAGACCCACCTACATCACTTGTCTTAACTAAGCCTCAAATCATGCCTTCTTCTCTCACCTCTTTGTAGGGATTCTGCTTTCTCATTCAAATACTGCTGAGATTCCAGGCTCAGTCACTGTTTGGACAGTTACTGAGATCTACGGTTTGTCAGAGCTATAACCACAGCATCACCAGGGTCTGCTCTCTGATCCTCTTACCCTCTATGACCCCCCCCCCCCCCGACCTCAAAATTCCCTTTCTTAACAACATGAAGCCTGTCCTTTAGTCCCGATGGGCTACAGATCTAAGAGGTCCTTCAGCTCCTCCTTGTCTCTTTTACCTGGACAACCCAATTCCAGTTATGATCACCTGCAGGCCACTTGTCCCTCTACCTTCCTCTTGATCTTTGCAGGACATAAACCCTGGGTGACATTAGAATTTTCTCTTGTCAATTTCTAGGGACTACCAAGAACACTCACCCCAACCTTCTACTCTAAATCGGTCCCTTGCCTCAATTCTTTTCTCTGCCAAACTCACCTCTATGATCACCAACATGGCTGCTTACAAGCAGGTGTGATCCTGCTACCCCTTTTAAGACGCCAGTGCCTTCCCCAAATCACGAGACTCCCTATGAGCAGCCTCCCTACCCCTGTGCCCCTCATCCCTGCTTCCTCTCCAGAATGTTTTCTTGCTGCCGTATCTTGGGCTGTGCAATCCAGCATTGAACCTGGCAGGCGTTTTGGTCCACTCTGAAGTTTACTCACTCTGTCCTCTTTACCTGGAAAAATCCCCTTTTTTTTTTCCCCACCATTTCTTGTCTACTTCGTGAATGCTTTATGTTGTAATTACATAACACTTGCTCGATAAGCTTCCTCCAGTTCTGGCACGGCATTGTGGGTACGTTTCACTGCTATTTTCTGTAAACACCTTCAGTGCCGTTCATGTCATGCATTTGTGCTCCAGTAATCTTTCCTGTGCCCCTCTCCCTGCTTCAGTTAGCATTCCAGTGACCATGTGAGTTCATTGTAATCATAAATGCACACATCTCAACAGTCAGTTGTTAAATTTATACATGAATGAAGGCTGTTAGGATAGTAGTTTCCCGTTATTCATGGGGATCTTCCAGAGACCCCCAGAGAAGTCCTGGAAAACTTCAGATACTAGTAGATACTATTTGCCCCCTGCTTAGTCTTCAATGTGCAGGTTCTGCAACGAAGTACTGGCAGTAATAACTAATAAAGCAGTACACTTTTAGCAATATAATATATTATAATAAGACCTGTTTAAAACTCATCAATTGATTTTTAAAATAGTGTTTTATTACTTCCTTGAGAATTTCATACAATATATTTTGATCATATTCATTCCCCTCCATAAATTGCTTTTTTTCCAGAACTTTCGATTTGATATTTTTAGGCTGTGGTTAAACTGTAGGGGAAGAAGATTACTGAACCTTGACATGCCCACTCATCTTTCACACATATACCTGTGCCCTTCTGAAAGATGCCTTTCCCATACTGAAGAGACAAACCAGGGACAGCTCCAACTGAGACCTAATCAGCGAATCATGGAAAGAAAGAGCCCTTGTCGACTCTGGTAGGAACAAGTGAAATTGGGCTTTCCATTTTTTAAAATGCGACTTAAAAAATAATTTTTTAGGTTGGCATCCAAGGTTCCACCATGGCCTTTTCATGCCTATCTGCTACTATGCCTCGCTCTCATTCATTAGTTTTGGTGGCCACTGCTTGTTTGTGGTGGGGAATGAACATTAGGCAAGTGCTCTCTCTCTCTCTGAGCTGGATCCCAGTCTGGGACTGCTATGTTTTTAACTGTAGGTTTTATCGCATCACCACCGCACGCTCTGCTAGCTGGAAAGGCAGGAATCCCAACACTGTCTCTAAAGATGATGTGTGTTTAGATCATCTCTGTCTTGTGAGTTCTCAGCTCTCCTCCTTTCATTTAGGTATTTGGCAGTGAGGAGACTACATTTTAAGTCTAAGATATTAATTAATTCTGCAAACACACCGAATTCACTTCTGAACCTCTCCACTTTTTAGGATCAGTTTGATTTCTAAATAAAACTTATTTGTATGACTGAGAAGAATGTAATTATAGTCTGAATGTTTGAGCTACATATTTCTCTTCTGCGCTCTTTTGTTTAGAGAGGTGAAGGTAGAGGCTGGAGAGATGGCTCAAAGGTTAAGAGCACTGGCTGTTCCTAGTTCAATTCCCAGCACCCACAGGGTAGCTCACTACCATCTATAATGAGATCTTGTGCCCTCTTCTGGCAGTCAGGTAGAACACTGTATACATAATAAAAAAATCTTAAAAATAAAGAAAGTTGAAATTATAGGTTTAAAATTTTATTTTGTTTCTGTCCATGCCCCTGTAGGCAGCACTAGAAAGCTTATTTATTTGCTGAGCTGAGCTTGGTGGAAACTTTCTTTGGTCTGTTGACTCCTTCTATATTTGAGGTAAATAAATGTTTCCCTTTTTTAAAAAAAATGATTTTTTAAAGGTTAGCACACGAATCAATGTGTTTCATCATGGCATCTTTACTCACAATACAAGAAGTATTTGAACAACAGCCAGAATGATAAATAACTAAGATATGAGCTTTCAGGTTGGTCTCTAGCTCTTTAAATGTCTTTACATTTTCCCCTACTTGTTAAGAATTTTGTTTCTTTGAGACAAAGTTTCACCTTGTAGCTTAGACTGGATTTAAACGATGTAACCTTGAATGATCTTGAACTTGTGACCCTCCTGCTCAGTCTCCCAAAATCTGGGAATACAGGTATGCACCAGGACATACCACGGACTCCCAACCTGACAATGAAAGACAATGAAACAAAGTTTTGCCAGTCTTGAGCCATAATCCTAGAATCCTGTGAACTCGGTCCTCTATTCTCCTTGGTAACAGACAACCGGACACAATGTGTTATGTTTCCAGAGAAGGCTGACTCTATCATTTACTCTAAAGTCAGATAAACAAGAAACGAGAAGAGCATAAAGAGGAGGCATAGGAGCGATGGGAAAGTGAGTGGGAAAATCCATGAACATTCAAAAGACGCCTGATGTCTTAAAGTAGCTCTGTCTTAATAGCACGCCTCTTATAGCTCAAAATGCTTTCCCACGGTCATGAAGCGACCCGTTTCTGGCAGGCTTTTTGCAGTCTTACAGACATTTGCATAAAGATGCTACATATTATGCATATGTGGGATCAGCAAGACGAAAATTATTCAAGTAATATATGGTACTCTTAATCATTTAAGCTCACTAAATGGCTATTTTGAAATTACAATTTTCTGAATGACGGAGGACCTCATCCGCCGTCAGAAATGTGCATTTTGGAAAGTATTTCCTGGTCAAGCTAATTACTGAAAACGCCGACAAGCAGCCAAAGATGTGTCCTTGCTGCAAGCAAGCAAAAGACGGAACGCCTGGGTGTGGTTCCACATTATGTGTGATTATTCTCCCAAAAGTTTTATCATATGTTCTACCTCTGAACATCATATGTTCTGCCTAGCCTTCAAATTGGACCCACTTGGGGAAGCAATGCACTAGGGACCGTTTGCAGATGTCCACTACGGCAGCACAGAATCTCAGAGCCCAGAGGCCTGAGCACCCTACAGCACAGGTTGCCAAGCCCCTGACCTTTTGGTGCTCGTGCTGGAGATGGGCAGGTAGTCCGTGACGGCAATGTACACGTACTGCTTGGCATCATCAATCACGCTGTAGATGGCATCGATGTCAAAGCTTCTGTTTTTAGGACAAAAGAGTTTGGGAGAATTCTGTGAAGATATAAAACCCAAGATGTTAGAGTTGAATTGTAGGCATCTGTGGATTTAAAATGTTTTTTATTTGTGTGGGTAAGTTTTGGTCTATTGTTAGTTACATGGTTTGTAAGCCTCCTGTCTGCTTTTCCTTGTTGTTGTTTTTGTTTGTTGTCTGCTTTTTGAGACAAGGTTTCTCTCTGTAGCTTTGGTTGTCCTGGATGAAATTCACTCTGTAGACCAGGCTGGCCTTGAACTCACAGAGATCCACCTGCCTCTGCCTTGCAAGTGCTGGGATTAAAGGCATGTGTCACTACTGCTAGGCTTCCTTTCTGCTTCTTGGTAAGTTTACAATAAGCTAGTTTGTGTTTTGTCAAAGTTGAGGCAGGACATGTATTAAGTCCTTGAAGTCTGTCTCAGGAGGGAATATTTGATTTCCGTACACACCTTGCTACTGTGAGAGCAACCTGCCTCAGGCTTATATGATTCTAGGGATCCCTCCTGTTTGTGACTGAGAATATTCTAAAGTATGATTTACAGATTTATATATACACATAGAATAAGCAACTTATTCTTGAAGTTATTTCATCTCAGAAGTGATGCTAGCCATAAAACTATCCAAGACACAAATCTAAAAAACCTCATTTTTTCTGGATCTTTCATAAAGTCAGGAAGAGGATTGCTGATGGTAGAGAAGGGGCATCTATAACCCACCAAGGAAAATCAAAGTTCCTGTGATGCCCACATCCATCAAGAGAGTCAGAGAAGAAAGATATCCTGCCAGACATCAGTCAAAAGAGAAAGAGGCAAACTGTGCTGAAGGTATTTTTCTCATGTCTGAACTTTCTCTGTTTTTACATGCAGTTGGTATAGCAAGGGGAAGACGTATTTCAGAGTCTTAGTGCTTTTCCTGCGAGGAGGATTGAACAAGAGTGTCTCCTATAAGCCCCGCCTTTCCCCTGACATCAGTCCCTGTGGGAAGCATGGGTGCACCACAGAGAGGATGACCTGCCTGGAATAAAAAACAGCATGGGACAATAAGAATTCCCAAGTCATTTGTCCCCAGTGCCTTGTCCTGAGTCGGTGGGGATCCTGTCTTACTACACGACTCACGGAATGAAGGTACCGGGGTGAATACCCCCACTCCACACACAGTAGTGGCAAAGTGGCTATCCAGGGGCATATTAAGGGTAAACCCTTTCTAGGCATCCCTGTCTGGAGAGTCCTGGTGATGATTATTAGTGATTATCGACTGCCTAATAGTGCCTAATAGTCAACAGGCTTCAGAATTATTGAAGAGATGAACCCGGAAAGGGGGAGGGGAGTGACTTTGAGAGAATTTTGAGTAACAGTAAACTGAGGTGGAAAGACCCACCTTTACTGTGGGTGACAGTGTTCTATGGGCTGGAGTCCTGAAGGGAAGGGCGGCTGATCCCTAGCATTCAGCTTCTGCTGTTTCCCAGCTGCAGATGTGATGAGCAGCTGCCCCGTGCTCCCCTTCTAAGCTTTCGCCACCGTGATGAGCTCCCCTTGGGTGGTAAGCCAGAATCCACCCTTTCTCCATCAAGATGCTTTTGTGAGATATTTGCACATAGCAGTGGGAAAGATAAGCAATCAAGTCCTTTTGGCCAGCGACAGGCAACGTATATAATGGATGAGTTCTTTTGCTTTGCGAAGGAAGATAAACTTCCATTCTTTAGTGGGAGGAAATGCATTGTCTCCATGACATTTAGCAAGCAGGTACAGGTGGCTTTCAGGATGAACTCCTGTCTTGGGATGAGTACCCCTGAGTGTTATTCTGTCTCCCAACCCCCATATCCCCAGCCCATGGTGGTGTCCTCGTCACCTCTGTGTGCTGACATTTACTCAGCTGGACCCTCTGGGTGACATGCTTCCCTGTTTGTCGTACCAGATCGCTCTCTAAATTCCACTTCAAATACATGTCTTCCACAAAACTCTCTTAGATCTCCAGACAGAGGCCACCTCTGATCTCCTAGGCTGGATGCTTCTTTTTCCTTCTTATCAACTCCTGTCCTCTCTTCCTCCCTTCTTTATTCTCTCCATCTCTCCATCCCCAGGTTGGTGGGCCCCGGGGCTTTCCTTAGGCTAGCCAAGCGCTTTACTGCTGCGCTGCCTCCCAGCTCCAGGTCACCCTTTCAAGCCTGTTGTCCCAGGGCATCGAGTGGCTCCACACTGAGACACAACCCTTCCTATAATACACCTCCAAGTTCACTCTCTACCCCAGTTAGCACCTTCAGAAATATAATAGAAATATAATGGTCTGCACTTGCCTCTCTGTCAGCTAGACTGTCTCTAGCTTGATTGTAGGGGCTGTGTCTTATTCATTTTCCTGTATCATTAAAATCATACATTTAAAAGATTTAATTTCCTCAGCCTATTTGGTCTGTCTTAGTCATGGCTCAGGGTACCATGGAGAGGCTGCGGAACATCTCTCTGGACAGGTTCCTGAGGTCTGAAATGCACCACAACACTCGTGGTTTTGTTTCAGTTAAGAACTTCCTGAGTTTCACTCTGGGATCCCACACTTGGCTTTGCTTTTGGAGAGAAGCACATTTAGGCGGGGAAGAGTTCAGGGGCCACTGTGTCCCAATGCCATGGGGAGAGGGAGGGCCTTAGTGGTGTAGGCCAGATTCCACACTCACAGCCCAAGAACATTAGTATACACCATCTCCCTTCAGTCTCCCTTTCTTCTCGCTCCACTCCCCACTCCCATCCCAGCTCGTCTCCCTCTCTCCCTTCCTTCCTTCCTTTCACAGAGTTTCACTGTGGACCTCAGCTATCCTGGACATCTCTCTGTAACCGAGGCTGACCCTGAATTTGTAACAATCCTCCAGCCTCTGTCTCTTGGTCCTGGGACTACAAGCCCCACTAGGCATGGGTAGTCTGCTTCTTAATGAAGTTCATAAGAGTTTCACCCTCTCACACTGCTGTGCTCTGAGGACTGGATAGGAGAGAAGCCCATTCTCTGGATGGGTCACGGGCATGCTGTTGCTCTATTGGCGGATATTGCCAATTGCCGGTCATGCTCTGGACTCAGGTCTAGGCAAGTGGCAGGTGTCGGGGGTTAAGGGAAGCTCTATGCATTGTGAGACTTTCGTCTAGCACCCGTTGCATGATACCGCTTCCTTTGCTGGCACGGTCGCGTATCTGCCAGCTCTTGGTTTGGGCTGTTTTTATTTTTTGTACAGCGCCTGTACTTTGTATTATGCACATATCATGTGCTCAGTAAGTAGCTGTGAAATAAACATGAATATATTTAATAAATTGATAAATGTTGTTGGGTTGTCTTACCCTAACCACTATTCCTAGCTGGAGTAGCTAAATTCTATTTTTTTTCCCCAAACACATATGGAAATCATTATTAGTATCAATCTGCCTTAGTCTTTCCTGAGTTCCCTTTGCCTAACACAATGCCTGGGTTTGGCACATGTTTTGTGTGTCTGTTAAGGGAAGGTATGATTGTTTACACCAATGTCCTTGCATCTGGGGGCTTGATTCTACCCATATAATATATATATATAGATTATATACATTATTAATACATATATTAATAATATCATTATTATACATTATATATTAATATTAATATATTAATATATATTATATATAATAATATATTATAATTATATATCATATAATTATATACTAATATATTATACAATATATACACATATATTATGTATGATAATATACATATCATTAATAATACATATATTATTATAATATATGTATATCTATATATATATTAGACAATATAATGTTCCTTAATATATAACAACATGAAAGACTGATGTACTGCTCTGCTAGGATGCTAACTAGCACCCACTGAACAGAGAGGTGGCTACTACATCCCCTTCAGCACCTAGAAGGAACGTGATAATCCTGGTGAGGTACGCTCTTTTATCCCACAGTTGAAGTAGAAGGCAAAACTACAGAGCCTGTTTTATGCTTCAGCTGACTTTACTGATCAAAAATTCTTGAGGCACCCCATGTCTGACTTAATCTAGGTTTTCCCTTGGATGAACAAGTGTTGGATGTCTGCATGTTTTATTCTGCATACTCAGTTGGTAAGTACTTTGTAGAGAGTTGGGTAGGTTTCTGATTTACTTCACAATGGTCTCCTGATTTTTAAAAATTTCATGATGTCTTTCTGGAACACAAGTGTACACACACACCAAACACACACACATTGAGATATAACCAAACATGGAAAGAGAACCCACAGAAAAGGAGAGAAGATTTGCAAATCATTCATTTGTTAAGGGCCTGTACAAAGAGTATAGAGAAAACCTCCCTAGGAGCTCTTGGAAACTGAGCATGAATGAAGGATGCAGCCGGCACACAGCGACACTTACACGACAGGCACACTAGGAGGGGTAATGTGAGAAAGAAATAAGAAGGAACATGGACACGTGGCAGGTGGGATTTTAGAACGGCGCGATCAGTTTTGGAAAGCACTTTAATAGTACCTCAGGATGGTGAACAATCAGCAATTCTTTCCTAAGTATAAATCCCAAAGACCTGAAAATGTATTTATATAGCATATTAGATATGAATATTCACAGGGGTCATATGCACAAGAACTCAAATATAGAAATATCAGAAACCCATCAACCAACACACACACAAAATATTACATCTTTACAATATGATATTACTTAGCCATAGAAAGAAGCAAAGAAACTACCTATAAATCCATGAATCAATGCTATAACATGCTTGGAACATGCTAGGTGAAAAACAGTCACAAAAGACTACATTTTGTAATACTGCGTTTAGATAGAATCTCCATGTCTAGATCAGAACTCTCTGGACTGAGAGGGGAAAACAGAATGTAGCTGTTGAAGATTATGGTGGTTCCCTTGTGTGAAGAAAGCATTCTGAAATTTCATGATGCTAATGACTGCAGAGCCGTTTGGATACACCAAAACTCACAGAATTATGAACTCTAAAAGGGCCAACCTCAAGAAAGCTGTTAAAATCTAAGTACGAATACA